TCTAGGGGTAGAAGTATTTTTAGCTTTTTTTGAGTTCATTTTAAGTTTTTTCTTTTTATCCATGTGGACATAATTCTCCTCACTAAACATCATATTCTTAAGGATAGTGTGATTGACCTCAATGATCCACGATCTTGCTACTTTCTTATTCATTTCTATAAGTTTTTCCATCTCCTTTAATTGAAGTCCACTCTACCGCATTCTTGAGAATCTTATATGCTTGATATCTCTACAAAATTTACCAAAGCATTTCGCTATACCTCTGAATTTGTTGATACAACGCATTACAAATGGTTTTCTTTTGTAAGCGATTTCTAATCTGTGTCTGAAAAAATCAACCTTGTCTTAAAATAATTTCTTCTTGATTTTGTTTTCCTGAGCTTGCAATGGATCTTCCTAAGATTTTAAGTCTTGTAAAATTTCACCTTCAATCTTTATCAGATATTGCTTTGGAGACTCAAAGTCTATTCCAAGTATTTCATCTAGGCGATTATCTCTTAAAGTGGGACTATGTCTAAGGCTTTCTTTGCTTGAATCTGAAGAAAGAGTTAGCTACTTCCTATATGAATTTACAATGGCATTGATAGGCTTGACTTTAACTTCTGAAATTTCATTATCTGAATTAAAAAGGTTCTTTATCTTTTTAGACAATTCTACATTCCTTTGCTTTCCTAAAAATTATACACTTGGACTTAATGATTAGTTCTAGTTTTAGTTAATTTGTGGAAATCCTTGCTAGCCGAGCATGTTGAAACTTTAACTCCAAGGGTTATAGGCTATAGAATTTACTCTCATTTATGAGTTTGCATTATTCTAATTAACTTGTTAATTATGTGCAGGACTCTAGTGGAGATCTTATGAAGATGGATGATGGCTTGATGGACTTTATCTTTGGCTATAAATTTTACCTTAACTTTAGTTGATATGATCTCTATTTGATTCATCTGTTTATGAAATAGTCAATATACTTTTAAGTCATGTTCTCTAAAGTTTCTTGATCTCTCTTTTCAGATCATTGTATCTCTCAAGGTTTAATTTTAAATCATCATATTCTTTGTTCTTTCCTCCCATTTGAGAAGGGTTATCCTATCTCTATGCTTATTGATTTTCTGCATAACCGCTGTTATTAATGTACGGTAATGATTCCAAACTTGATAGATTATTGAAGGTGTATTTTTATGGGCTCACAATGCCCTTGCTATTTTAGTTGTAATTTGGCTTAGACACTTAAATCTTATTGTTCAAGAAGCCATTTTCATTTCTGGCATGTCTATCTTGTATAGATGGAAGGTATTGAGGATTTTTGTACTGACCATCTATAGATTGGTTGAGTTATAAGAGTGTTTGAAAGTCATTGTTAATTTTGATCTTGTAATTCATTCTTTTTAATTTTTTGATTCCTTTCAATAATAATTAGTTGAAAAATATTACATTTTTATTCTTTTTATTAATATATTTGTATCCCAGAATCCTTCCGCTTGGGGTTTTGGGGTTTTGGGGTTTTGGGG